CATTTTACTACTAAGTTTTCATAGTAATGACAATTGTGTTATTGAATGCATCCTTAAACTTTATCATACTACATTGCTAGATTTGGGGCAACCAAGATTCATTATTTTGCTCAAAAAACTCATTCATAAACTCATTGTAGCGCCAGATTTAAGGGGGATAAGAGTTCCCCGTGGCATGGTGTCCGCGAACACTCCAATTTGAACGTCCCAACTGGGAAATTTCATAAATCTGGCCATATAAACACTCACACGAAGATGCGATATTACTAATTTCAGAAAGACTGCATTAAAGTCTTACCGTGATAAGCTGATGAACTCTGTTTTCTTATCGTAAAAAAATATCTAATCAAGAAACTACTTGTACTGTATGCATTTTTTTATGTAACAACCGAAGGAACTACTGATAGTAAATTCCAGTTGAGAATGTATTTGATTACTCCAGCCAATGAATTCCACTTGCTCTAGGTAAGCCCTGCAAAGTAGAAAGTTTTTCCAAAAATATGACAAAGAGTCAGACAAAGAAAAGAAACAGGGCAACGTTAAATTTGCACCTGCACTTATGATTCATTGACAAAGTGTACGAAATCGCTAGAGGATGGATAAGTTTTATACCTGGCCGCATGACGCCAATTTGGCCCAGTGCCTGATATTTGTTTAGTGCGTTCTTGGCTTTCAAGTCCTATCTCATTCCTCACTTGCTATTACTTGGGGTAGTTCCAACGTGGCTATGCATTTTAATTTTGAGGTTCCACATTGTTCAGCACTTCTAGTTCCTCGTATATATCAGCTCATATGGCAACCACTATTTCGTCACCTTTCATTTGTTTTCATGTTATCTTCCTTGTCCTTCTCCAATTAGTGTCAACCTCAATGTTCCCACGTTTTACAAGCACCCCACGTATACAAAGTATGTCAATCCTGAACAAATTCACGCGAAGAAATCAATCTGATCAAGATATTCCATATATACTTCTCAATATAACTTGCCACCAGGTAATAGCTGATAGTCACATAACCGACAAAGGATACCTAACATAGCTTAATTCACATCATTTATGTCCCTTCTGATGAAATAAAAGAAAATTAGGAGCAGTCAAGGTTAAATTATAGCTACAATTTGTGTACATGGAAAGGCATATGGGTTATAAAAAACCAACTATTCAGCTGCTCATTAACTTGTTATTTCCTTTTAATACCTCACTGGTGAATATTTCATTTTTCAACGACCTCTTTATGATATCTACTCCTGTTCCACCAATAAATCAGGCTTACAGGTTCAATCGGGAGAACACCGCAAGTTCGGAAGCCGCCGGTATAACTCTGCTCAAAGCATTAATCTCACATTGTATTGAACTATACCTTTGTTACCATGTTCCTTGAGCTGACCGTGCTACTAATGTAGGCCTTTGTTTGTCTTTCTAGTATGTCCTTTCAACTTCACGTGCGACAGTATTTTGGGCAAGAAATCAGCAATTAAAGCCAGCAACCCGACGTCCAACTCATCAGGAAGCCAACTTTAATATATCAATCAGTAGATTTACTCAGTTGCCTATTGCATTCTTACCTTCACCTATTGCATGTGGCACAACTTCTTGTATTGTGTAACATGTGGATCAGTACCTGCAACATTAAATGATTAAAAAGTCTTTTTTCTAGTGTTGGTGAAGCAAAATACATGGAGAGTTTATAAGAATTTAACACCGTATCATTCCTTAGGAAGGGCCTGAGAATTGTTGGAAGCAATATCAAAATACCCGGAGAGTTTAGATTGGTAAATCAAGATGCCTGAAGAGTTATCGAAATTTCAAGTGGAGACTTCCTTAGAAATGGACCGAGAATTGTCGGAAGCAGTAGATTAGACTACTGAATCAAAACTTCTGGAGATTTATTAGGAATTTCATATGGCATCATTCCTAAGAGAGGGCGTGAAACCTGGAGAGTTAAGATTGGTATAGAAGTTTCAAGCAGCTTAGTTCCTTAAGCATGCGTGAAAATTTAGTTCCTTAGGCAGGCGTGAAAATTCAATTGTGGCATCATTCTGTAGACAGGGCGTGAGAATTGTACAGAGCAATAGATCAGATGGTAAATTTAAAAACCTGGAGAGTTCATACAAATTCCAAGCAGCTTAGTTCCTTAGAAAAGCGTGAGAACTGTTGTAAACAATAGATTAGATTGGTAAATAAAAAGACATGGAGAGTTTATAGGAAATTCTGGCGGCGTGGTGAACAACTTTTATGGCGGGGCAAGAGAAATCAGGAGGGTATAATTTCGGACTGGTTTGTTATATAGGTTTGAAGACATGGATTCAGAACTGAACAGGGCGTAAGTATTTCTAGCGGAGTTGGGATCAACTTCAAAGATAGGACGTGAGGGATCAAAAGGGTTTGACAAAGCGGATGCTGAGGAAGATGCTGTGAAGACACTGTTTCTGTTTTGAGTGGAGCCGTTTCAGTGTTACCGTGGCATTTCTGTTTTGAGTGGCTGCCTTTCGGTGTTGAGTGCCGGGCAATGAGTTAAAAGAGAACTCTTGTTCATTTCTAGAATAACAATTTTTATTTTAAAAAAAAAAAATAGATTAGTTTCTATGTGTATTTGTTACCATACAAATTTCATCACTACAATCAGCCTAAAATTAATTAGAAACCACAAATACTGAATACAAACGACACATTATACTTCAAAGGCAAAATACAATAAACTTTGAAGAACAATATATCTGGAAAGGTAAAGTGTTATGTAACTTTGAAGCATTTTTTTAAACAACAATGAGGACTTGAATGTTATCTAAAGCGGAAAAAGTCAATTTGAATGTTATCTAAAACACAAGAAGTTGAAGGAAAGGTAAATGGAAAAAAATCATGAGGAAGAAGTATACCAAAGGGTGTGTGGAATTGAAAGCGTAATACCTCGATGTCCTGATGATTTTTGTGTGGCCTAATTTACAACTTCAAAGTCCGTGAACACAATTTCGAAATTGTGTTCCCCTGCTCTAGGTACATTTTATTGTAGCTACATTTCACACAATCTACCAACAAATGTTAAAGGTAAATAACCTAGTGTTGGCGCATTTACGTATATTCTGAACATTGGAAAAAAGAAATTTACCTTGTGCGGAATCATCAACAAAAATTGAAACATATTTTGACTTTCAGTGTAGTTGAAGGCGATGGAGAACTTTCTTGGGGCATTGCAACTGTAAAAAAAATTTATACTCAGATACTCTTACTCTAATTAATCAATTTGGTTCCCCATCTAATCTTTGGAGTTGTTGGTTTGTATTTGTTGAAAAAGATTCAGTCAAAGTAATTTATATGTAGTGGTGCTCTGTTTTGTATTGGTTGTAGTCTGCCCATCAATCCATATGTTCTGCAAGAGAGAAGTGAAAAAATGGCAAAATTGTGAGGAGTGACAAAAAAGAAAGGGATATTAAGAGGGTTAAAGGTAGCAATCGTTGTGTTTTTAAGTAAAAGAGACGAGTATAGTAATTTTTTTTAAGGAAAACAATAATTCCTGATCAGTGAGGACTGTGTTAATACTCATACGAACAATGTTGTAAGTGCGCAGAAGAAGGCGGAAGAGAGTGGAGGTTGGTGAACAGGAGCAGGAGACGCAGTGATTATAGAGTGTAGTGTGGAGACGAAGAATAGTGGCGTCAGTTCAAAACAGCCACTTCGTTCATGAGGCGGCGTAATAGTTGGCTGGCGAAAGAACGCCACAGCGTTTGGGTTGAAGTGGGGTTTGATGTGCGCGTTTTTCTTGTAGAGGGGAAGGGCACTTTTGGAAATATATTAAACTAAAAGGGTTTTCTGGTTTGTGGTGGCGCCACGTAGGTAGCCATAAGGTTTTCCTATATATATATATATATATATGATTTGTGTTATTTCTATGGTGGCATGAGGTTGGGAATAAGTGAAATAATTAATTTTATTCTTTTGTTTTGAATTTTGGGTACACAAAAGAAAAACACAAAATTCATACATATTTGCTTAATCAAGTTATCTTTTATTGAACTAATTATTTTTATATGAATGCATCGTTATTTTCCTCCTTTTTTCTCTCTTGTTTGTCATAAATTGAAAAAAATAAATTTAAAAATGGTGGAAAAGATCCAAATAGAAAAAAAATTTAAAGAGATAAGAAGTGTGTGTGGGGGGGGGGGGGTGGGGGGGGGGGTGTAGAGAGTAGATGCCTAACCTCTTTTTAATTTTAATCTACTATAAAATTCAAAATAAAGTCAATCATGTGGGTTTATATATTAAGTAATTTCAAATTATTTTAACGGAAAAGGGCATAAAATGCCCTTAAGCAATGAGATTTGGTACAATATTGCCCTCCATCCACCTGTGAGTATGATCCGTTAGACATAAGAGTATTTTTGAGCCAAAAGATGGACAACAAGCGTATTTTAAGGCCAATAGGTGGATGGAGGGTAATTTTGTACCAATTCAAATACTTGAGGGATATTTTAGGCCCTTCTCTGTAAAAACAATACATTCACTGCTAAAGTTTAAACAAAACATGTGGCGTTAGTTAATATCTTTTTTACCCTTTAAATGTTTGTGTAACATGCATTGAACACTTATATTAGATGGATAATGGAGTTGGAGGGTTAAAATAGAACAAAACTAGAACAAAACTAAGTTGAAGTGCCAAAATAAAACTTTGAGGCGAGCTAAAGGGTGGTGCATGTATTTCGCTAAAGTCGAATCATTGATGACCCTTTCCAAGTCATAACATCATACATAAACAATCCCAATTATATTTTTTTATGTTTAAATATTACATGGATAATGGAGTTGGAGGGTTAAAATAGAACAAACTAAGTTGGAGTGCCAAAATAAAACTTTGAGGCGAGCTAAAGGGGTTTGTGCATGTATTTCGCTAAAGTCGAATCATTGATGACCCTTTCCAAGTCATAACATCATACGTAAACAATCCCAATTATATTTGCTTAAGCTCAACTAAACTAACCAGCATTAGGCCAAATGAACAAATTATTGTACAAGTATGCATTGACATCTCGAGTTTTTCACCAAAAATATCAAGGCAGACGAAATGATGTGAAATTTTGCCAGTTACTAGTAACAGAACTACTGGAAGACCCTTCGAACCTCAAGCTCCTGAAACCGAGGAAAGAAAGACAACGATCAACAAGAAGAAGAATATTTACATAGGACACACGTGCATGTCTTCATAGAACTTTTATCGGTCTAATGGATCTACAAGAATTTACATGGATACACGTGTAACACGTGTCTAGAAACTAGTTTCTCAATATCTAGCAAAGGAACTGTGTGTAAGCTATTTAACTTTTGCTAGCAGATTTTATAGTCCGTTTTATGCAGATGTAACTCTAAATGTTGTTTTTAAGCACCTCAAAAATTTCTTTATATAGCAATGAACTCTCAGGTTTATAAATCACAATTGAGAACAAAGCTAGTAGAACAAGTTTACCCGCTGGTTGAGCTGTGAATTGCATGAAAAGCAAGGAGAATGTCTCTAATTAGTTGAGGTTCCTTGACAACATCCCCGATATCCATCCTTTCTCTCGGGGATTCAGCTGAACATGCAACTCCAATCTGTATTATCGAGACTAAGCATTCCTGCGCTTGTTTTATACTAGTATCATCTTGATTGATAAGTACTCCTTCTTCCTCGGCCTCTTGTCTTTCTCTGCTGTTGCTAGGTAGAAGCATGGGATCTACTATTTCATCAAGTAAAGCCGTCTTAGCAAAACTGTGAAGAGTCCGTCCATTTTTGAACATGCTGTCAGTAGGTCTCTTTCCAGTAAACATCTCGGGCAAAAGGATCCCATAGCTGTAAACATCACCAAATGCGGAAGCCTTACCTCCCATGCTGTACTCTGCCCAAATAGGAAAGAAAACATGTAAAATCAATATGAAAACTCTCTCAAGAAGACACGCGAAAAGACCCAAAATAGTCCCTTATCTTTGGGTTAAGACTCAAAGTCATCCTTGTTTTTTCACATGGAGAATTTTCAGTCCCCATGTTTGCAATATTGGTACAATTTTGGTCTTCCCCTAAACTTCTGTCTATTTTTAAACGTTGGTTTTGTCGACAATTTAGTGTATGGAATGTTTAGAAACAATAACTCCATGAGAGAGAAGGTGTGAAGAAGGGTACGTGCTCCTTGTTCTGTACAACCAGTCCAAGCATCATTGCACGTGAAATCTAATGTGATGAAACTCTCAATCTCAAGAAAAAATAAAGACAAGTTTGAGGATGGACTAAAACTTCAGCAATACTAAAAACATGGAGGACTGTTAGTGCTCCGAACAAGGATGCCTTTGAGTCTAAATTCAAAGATAAGGGACTATCAACTCTGTTACCTGGTACAGCATATCCAATTGAACTATATTTGCTCATGGATTGAGAAAAACATTGTTAATCCAAAATAAGCTACATGGGCAGTCATGTCGCTGTCGAGAAGAATGTTGTCCGGCTTCAGATCACAGTACACAATCGGATTGTGGCAATGGTGATACAGATATTCCAGTGCACATGCCACATCAATAGAAATGCTTAGTCTTTCAACTAGACCTAGAATCCTCACCTCATTAGTTGAGGCATCAGCCAACTTTCTAAGCTACCATTAGGCATGTATTCGTAAACTAAAGCTATAAACGGATTACCCTCAAAATCACTAGTCGAACATGTAGTATAGATCTTAACAAGATTTTTATTCCTAATGTTTCTCAGGGCCTCAAACTCAGCCATGAAGCTCTTAGAAGCAGCCCCTTGTTGATCAATGTTTATCACCTTCACCGCAACCATACTTTCACCTGGATCAAGTACCCCTTTGTAAACAGAACTAAAGCTACCCTTTCCAATCAAATTGGCAGAAGAGAATCCATTTGTCGCTCTATATAGGCTCTCATAAGTAACCGGTGAAGATTTTAAAGAAGGCTCTCCCCTTGCCTTTTCTAACCGAATGATTATGACTAAAGACATGATGAAAACAAGTGCAACAAGTCAAGAAAGAAGAGGGATCATTAGCTTAATGCTTCTGGACTTATCTCTTTCCTCAGGGTCAGTGTTCGGACATATTGGCAACTCCAGTTCCGGTATACCCCCACAAAGTTTCTTATTCCCTGATACGGATATTGCAGTTGCATTTCTGAAAACACCTTCAGTTGGCAACTGACCCTCAAACTGGTTGAAAGACAAGTTCACTTTTTTCAAGGAAATGAGCTGAAGAGATGTTGGAATCTGACCAGATAAATTGTTGCGAGAAAGATCCAATTCTTCGAGACCTTTCAAAGAACTAAGGGATGAAGGAATTATACCTTCAAAGAAGTTGCCAGCTAAAACAAGGCTTTCCAACGCTACACACCTCCCTATGCTATTAGGAATTTGCCCAGACAACATGTTATTAGAAATATCCAATCTTCCAAGATTATTGAGAGCTCCAATTTCAACTGATAGCGAACCGGACAATTGATTGTCAGCAAGATTAAGAGAATTTGTTAAGGTAGACAAACTCATAACTCCATCTGGTATGCTACCACTTAGATGATTCTGAGAAAGGTCTATATCTTGCAAGTACCAGAAATCGCCAAAACTAAGGGGAATATTACCAGTTAACTCATTCTTTTCCAAATGTAGTGAATATAATCGAGTCATGTTAGAAATAGACGATGATATACTACCTGAAAACTTGTTTTTGGACAAGTCCACTAACTGAAGCCTACGAAGATTGCCAATGACTTCAGGAATGCTACCAGAAAAATCATTCTTTTGCAATTGCAATTCAGTCAAGTTAACAAGATTACCTATTCCTGAATGAATACTACCAAATAGTTGATTACCTCCCAATCTAAGTGACATAAGAGTCGTCGATAAATTTGCAATAGAATCAGGTAGAACAGCTCCAAATTTGCAATCACTCAAATCCAGAACTTTCAGATTTCTGCATCTACTCAAAGAATTGAAAAAACTCAAGTCATCAACATCTCCTGTTCCAATGGAATTCGATGCAAGAATCAGCCACCAAAGATCCGATAACCCCCCGAAGTCAATCGACACTTTTCCAGTGAAATTACTACCATATGCCTCAAGTTCGACTAGATTGGAAGCATTAGATAATGACTTTGGAAGGGGTCCAGTAAACGAATTATGACCGATCCTTAGAACTTTCAACTTAGGAAAACTTAACCCAAAGTCTAATGGCAAAGTTCCATATAACTGATTATAACAAACTGTGAATATCTCAAGAGATGAAAGATTAAAAATTGCAGCAGGTACCATACCAGATAACTTATTTATACCCAAACCAAGAACATTCAATGTCTTCAACTGGCTAAGAGAACTAGGAATACTTCCTTCCAAATTGTTAACTGATAACGAAAGTGATTTGATTGTGGAAAGATTATCTAATTTTTCCGGTATCGGTCCATTGAGGTTGTTATGAACTTGCAATCTCTCAAGCTTTTGCAATGAACCAAGCTCAAATGGAATCTTTCCAGACAATTGATTCCAACCAAAATGAAGTGCAACAAGATTCGAACAACAAGAAAGATTTATCGGTATCTCTCAAGAAAATGAGTTATTAGTCAAACTAAGATGCTGAAGCCTAAACAAACCACCAACCTGTGGTGGGATTTTTCCATGTAAATTGTTGAGCTCAAGGTTGAGACTAGTAAGAAAAGTAAGATTTCCTATGTAAGGTGACAAAGTACCTACTAAGTCAAGTGATGTTAAGTGCAGTTTAGTCATTCTTTGATGAAGATGGCCACAAGTGACACCTTTCCAGCTGCAAAAATGGAATGAATTATTCCATGAAGTAAAAATACCATAAGGATCTTGAATTATCCCTTCTTTGAAGGCAAGTAAGGCTTGCATATCAGTTTCATTACCACTATGTAACTTCAAGGCATGTGAGATATTGAACATGAATGAAAGGAGGGTAATTAGATAGAAAACAAAAGAACATAATGACATTGTAATCTTGAAATGTAGAGAAAAAAGCATAGTTCTTACAGACAATAAGGTTTATTCTGTGCTTTTTGGTGTGAAAAATCCTTTCTTTTCTTCTTTTTATCCTTTGTACTCTATTTATTCACTTGACATCTATTTCTGCAGCCAATGAAGCAAATAGAGTTGTTATATATGTCAGTTGAACGAAGATTTTATGGACAAATGTGCCTAGAAGCATTTCTAGACAAATATTTGGTCTAGACGTCTTGTTGTGTTTCGCTAACCATTGAGTGATAGTTTAGATAGGAAACTCAAACTCTCAATAGTTTATGTATAATTAGTTGAAGATATGGTTGCATTAACAATCCATGTCATATAAATAGAGAAAGACAGAGAATTGAGACTTGTCTAATCAAGAATCTAATTCTTTTTCTTCCTTTTGCCCTTTGATTCTCACAAATGGAGTGTCCAGTTGTATTATCCCAATTTATAAAATGGAGAAAGTGAAATCTTGTGACTAATCCAATTGGTGCCTTACGTAACATAGATAGTGTATAATTGAGAGAAGGAAGGTACAAAGACAGTAAATAAGACAATATTCATTAATTTTTATGTCAGGTCTGGTACAAAGTGATTAAAAAAAAATGAATAGTACAACATTACTAATATCTCTAGTACCAACCTTTTTTACTTGGAAATACACAAATTGGACTTTTCTGAATTGTGACTGAAAATTTGGATTTGTTGGCTGAGAAGATCAGTAGGATAGAGAATATAGGAGGAAAGTGTTAAGTGGGGTGGGATAAAAAGTAAATTTTCACCACCAAATTAAGACATACATGGTAAGGTAAATACTTACACGCATCAGATATTTACATCAACTTATAAATATAAGATGTGTTTTACACATACACATTTGTCACTTAAAAGAAAAAATATATACTTACCATCTTCGAGAGGAGCAATTTAACTTATGATAAAAGAAAAAAAAAATGACAACAATTTCGAGTAGTTATTAGTAATTAAAAAATCATGGAAGTTACTTTTGCCTCTCCTATTCTATAATATAGAGATACACGAAACTTTAACTCTAATTAAATTTGAAATCTTTATATTAGCAACACAAAGATTTTAAACATTGGTGGTTAATTTAACAAACTATATGTATTAGTTAGTTAGTTAAGCTTAGTTGTTAGTTAGTTAATGATAGATTAGAAAGAGTCGGTGGACTCTAATCACTGTGATGTCTATAAATTGGACTCTAATCACTGTATATCTTCTTTCAGCTCCCATTAATGGAGTTTCTTAACATGGTATTAGAGTCATTCAATCGTAGTGGCGCATATGGACGACTCAACGCAATCAAAGATCTAGACTGAAATCTCAACTAGAGGCCTAAAATCTAAATAAACTTTATATGCATTTATTTTAAATTAATTTTTCTTACATTTTTAAGTGCAAAGTATTACTTAATATATTTTTTTAATAAGTGATTTATTTGATTTCTTTTTCAATTATTAGTTTTAGATAAGATTTTATCAATTCAACGTTGAAAAACATCTTTTTACTTTGACAATCATTATATGAATTGTTAATGGTTCTATAAGTAATAAGTTGACAAATTTCAAATAAAGATAAGAGTTAGAACCATAAAATTTGACTCAAGAAGTTGATAGTTTGGTATACCCCACATTTTACTATGCTTGTTGTAATGCTTGAAAATCTAAGAATAATAGAAAAAATTTACAATTCACTTCGTTCAACACTTTTCGACTATTGATTCATATTTTTGACAAAGTATTACTCTAACTTATCAAAAATTTAAAGAAGTAAGTGTAAAGGGAGT